GGTGGTGGCGGCGGCGGCGGCGACGGTAACGGTAGCCTGTGGTGGCGGTGGTGGTAGGTAGTATTGGTGGTGGTGGTGGTGGTAGTGGTGGTGGTGGTTGCGAGTAGCGCGATAGAGTCGGATGGTGCAGTCAACGTTGGGACCGGTAGCCCAAAAGACACACGCGGATCTCACGCGTTCTCTTCACACCCCTCTCGTCGAGCACCCCTTCTGACACCTCTTACATCTTAGAACGGTTGTACGGCCCTGAAAGAAACGTGGCGTGATACGAACTACATATTTTCTCTTTCTCTCTCTCTCTCTCTCTCTCTCTCTCTTTCTTTCTCTATTTCTTTCTCTCTCTCCCTTCTTAGGACACGCTCCAAGTCCGCAGGCAAACGAACACGTAGGAGCCGTATACATATCGGCCATGGTGCTCGTTTACCGGGCCGAGTGGTGGGTGTGTGATAAAAATATAATGCTGGTGACGCGCGTGACACGATACAACGCGATATGACAGTTCCTTCGGTTCTTTCGTCGTCGTACCCCTGCTGCGTATGGATTCGCGTGTGACCAGACGATAAACGCAATGTTGTGACGCGTGACACACCGCGCACCGGTCCGCACACGGCGTTTCAATGCTCAGGGACGTTGCCACTGTTCCTTCGCCTCCTCTTCTCTCGCGCACATCCGAGCATGGATGATAAATGCTCGAGCGAACGGTAAATGCCATCCCGGGACCCGAATTTATCGATTTTCGTACACACGCGTATTATTTGATCGGTATATGTGATTTATTCCACGTTCGGATAATCGGTGTGCTCGTTTTCGGTGTAACGTTTTCGTTGTTCACCAGGATTTTCCATTTTCACATTTCCGTGTCACAGGTTCTCGCAGAAATATGACGCTACCGCTACGCGCCTTTTTGAGGACAATGACCCCGTGCACCTTGCTTTCTTCCTAGTGTGTCTGATGTTCGTTGCTGATTTTAACGTTTTACTTTTTTTACTTATCTTTTCGCTCCATTTCTTCGAACAACGAACATTTCTTACGGAATTTATTTTCGAATATTTCGATTATACTCGGAAACGGAATAATTTTCATTTTACCGACGTATACGTTATACGATTTCGCATTTAGTACGTGGTACGTGCACGGAAAAATCGTACGTGTATCTTCCAATTGTACCGTGACATTATACAACAAAAACTTTATGCGATACTTTTAACAATGCCACACGGTATACGACACTAAAGTCATTAGTAACGTTCCAACTAGACCGAATGCGGTTTTTGCGGTACTTCAATTTCAGTGGGTACATGTATATAGCGTTATTTATAGTTTGCAATTTGTCGCGTTGAAACTAAATCTCTCTTTAAACATACGCAATGATGCGTGTTTATAGACGTACCGTTGAAATAACACCACGTTCTTTTTGTTTTTTCTTTCGATTGTTTGCTTTGCATAATTCCTAGTGCAATCTATAACGTATAAGCAGACAAGAAATACCGAGATAATATTT